GCCGCGCTTTCGCCATCAAAGGTGACGCAGATGGTGATCTCACACAAAGCTTCTTCCACACACTGACTTGTTGTTGTGCCCTCTCAACGCAAGACTTCGTATGTCTAGTTTTCTCACATCATCACTTGTGACGCCAGCCAGTGGTGGAAACAGTGGTGCAAATAATCTAATCCCAGAAATTGAATATCCTGCCTGATGTTTCAGAAGATTTCCCATTTTTCGTGGCTACTTATTCAACCATTTTGGGGGCCGCTCTTCTACTCCCCACCTCATGATTGGCTGAGATTAGGTCAAAGGTGAATTGGGTAGTTTAGCCCAGGCATGACTGTAACAACTCGGTGACCCATCAACCCAGCTCAGTTTGTTTGAGGTCTCCTTCGGTTGAACTTCCCGAGTATGCTTTTCAACTTCGTTTGGGATGCGTTCTGGAGTTTGGGTTCTCACTCGGCGGAGTCTTCTCGGCAACTTAGTTGAAATGCGTTTGGCGAAAGTATGGCGGCAGGAGGCACCGCTCGCAGAAGTGCTTTTTTTAATAAGTAGACTTTATTGTCCACGCATTAAGGATGGATGTTGCACATTTATTGACACCTCCTAAGGCACGTATCTCCTCATCCCCACAAGACTCCTTTGTGCTGTATTTTGTTTAGTGGATTACAGAGGAGGAGGGCTTTTAATCAAACAATTCCGTTCAGATCGAATGAAAATAGACTTTAGGTATGGGCGGGGGGATTTGTCAATGATTTGAATACCAAATAAACGCCTCACGATTATGACTTATCAAAGGGACTGTGAGGTCCTCGTTCTCCCAACTAGTCATAAAAAACTGAACTCCAGTATCGACATGTGGGATCAAGCGAAAGGCGAGTGTGGTGAGTACCACCCACTTGCCTCAACTGCTAATTCGGGAGGGCTGGTTAAGTAACTCAGTTGCCCATTCACTACTGACCTTTATCCTAATCTCAGCCAATTGGGAGGCCATGAGGGAGAGCACGAATATGAGGAAGCAGCTGTGGTGGTGGTGGTGGTGGTGGAAACTCCTGGTAAATTGGGCAGGAGGTTGTCCAGGTGTGCAGGACCTCCCCCCCTCTCCCCACTCCCAACACTTTCCTGTCATGTGGTTCCATTGGTAGGCCTTTTCCAATTTTGCGTTTTTGTTATGCTTCCATATTTGGCTCGTTGTTCCGGGTTTTATAGAGATCTTTGATCCTCCATCGTTTCTTGGTCTTTTCTTTCGTAGATCTCTCCTAACTATTATTTACAGTAGATGCTTCTTCACCCTATCAACCACCCATTCTACATGTTTGTAAGCCCTTGCTCAAACAATCAAGGTGCTTTGAGAGACGCTTTTAGGCATATAACTGTGTGAGCATGTTTTAATCGTGAACTTAGAGGTTTGGGGTCTGATACCAGAGCTGCATTGTAACGTGTAATCTTCGCCCTCTTTCCACTTTTTAGTTGTCACCATTTACATCACTGATTGGCACAATAAAACACGTCGTATTATGAATGAAATGGACAATGTCAGGAGTGCTGTTGCAGTGGATTCCCTAATGAATTTCGAAACTGTGAGTCCTAGCAATTCTCTTGTCAATTTTTAAGACTTCAAAAGATTGTTTTTGCCATGCAACAGCGAGACTGTGCACATTTAAGTGGTCCAGCAAATAATGGCCGTTTTAAACATGGGATTTTGAACTAAAAATCAGGACTTTTGCGCATCTTATTAATTCTCAAAAGTGATTGGTTGGAAATG